AAATAATTTATTAATAATATATATTTATATTTATATTATTTACTTTGTTTTTGTCTCCAGGTGTGGCTCTCTGGGGTTCTGCGGTTGTCGGTGCGCGTTGGCTGCACGACGTAGCAAAGCAGTCTCCAGTAAGAGTTTTCTATTGATTATCTTTATATTTATTATTATTATATTATATATATATTATATTATTATTATTATTCTTTACCATTATTAGTACTATTTATTATTATTATTTGTTGTTATCAATCATTATTTTCTAGACATTGCAAAGCAGTCTCCAGTAAGAGTTTTCTACTGTTCATTTTTATATTATTATTATTATTATTATTATTATTCTTTTATTCCTCTGTTCTTTTTATTTTTCTTTGTTCTGTTCTTTATTAGGAGTTCTTGTTCGCTGTATTTTGTTTGTTGTTCGTCAAGAGAGAAAAATAAAAATAATAAGCACTGGAGATAATAAACAACAAACAATAAACAGCAAATAGATATAAGTGCAGCATAATGAGCAAACACAAAGACAAATAAAAAACCTTCTTTGCTGCTGTTTGTTTGGTGTTTGTTTTTTGTTATTTGTTTGAGTTGTTTAATGCTGTCCTATCTTTGTTTGCTGTCGATTCTTTATTATTATTATTATTTATGTTTATTGTTTTTATTGTTTTTATTGCTATTTGCTGTGCACTACTTTTATCTTCATTTAGGTTTTAATAATGTTTATTATTTTTATTTTTATTTTTATTGCATATTTCTTCTCTCTGATGTTTATTTTTTTGCTTTTCTTCTTTTGTAGTTCCCGCACGGCCAACCCGATTAATTGCCTAAACAAATTAATTAATTATTTTATTTAATTTTATCCAATTAGTTAGTTTGACTAATTAATTAGTTTAATTAATTGCTTTCATTAATTATATTATACAAATAGAATAGCCGTATGTAAATTAATTCATTGTTATGTAGACAGTACATCACTTAATAATGAGAGTAATTAGTTAATTTAGTTAGTTAAATTACTTAAATTAATTAATGTAATCAATTAATTTAATTATTTAATTAAATAAATCATTCAAAGTAATCCGTTGAGTAATTTATTTGATATAATTAGTTCTTTATTTAATTAAATTAATCAAATAATTAAACTGCCGCATTATTTATTTGATTTATTTAATTTAATTAATTTAATTTAATTAATTAATGCGTTGTTTTGTTTGCTTAGGAAGTGTTTGCAGGGAAGACAGTCTTAGAGTTGGGGGCTGGCTGCGGTCTCCTCGGGCTCTGCTGCTCTTTGCTGCAGCATTCGCCTGTCTCTGTTGTTTTATCAGACGTCTTTCCACACACTCTCAACAACTTAGTGCATAACTGCACCATTAATAATATCACTCTCAAGCAGCAGCAGCAGCAGCAGCAGCAGCAGCAGCAGAGAGCGGAGGTTGAGGTGGTGCGTCTCGATTGCTGTGACCCGAAGACTTTTCCTACTGATGAACAGGTGAGCCTGCTGCTGCAGCAGCCGCTAGCGATCAAGCTTGATAGCTAGCTAGCTAGCTAGCTGTCAGCTAGATACTCTACTAGATGGCTAGCTACCTGCTGCTGCAGGGAAGCTGCGTGTGCCCCTCTTATTTCATGGAGTTGGCTAGCTGTAGCTAGCTGGCCAGTTGCCTTTGTGGAGCTAGCTAGCTGTCCTTCACTGTAGCTAGCTGTAGCTAGCTGTAACTAGCTGACTTTCGATATGTGTTGCTGAGTGAGGTTTCGTGATTTATTGCCCTGCTCATTGTACCTCCTCCCTTTTCCTGTCCTTCTCGCTGCTGCTGCTGCTGCTGCTTGTGCTGCTGCTGCTGCTGCTTTTGCTGCTGCTGCTGCTGTAGGGTAGCATACGTCGCTTTGACGTGATTGTAGGTAGCGATTTGCTGTATGATGTCTCCGCTTTAAAGAACCTGGTAATGTCTATCTGCTGCCTCCTCAAACCAAAGACAGGCCGACTCTACTACACGCACAAACTCTCTAGAGATGGAGCCCCACTCCTAGCAGATGCGTACGCTGCTGCTGCTGCTGCTGCTGCTGCTGCTGTTAGTGCTGCTGCTGCTGCGGCTAGTGCTGTTAGTGATGCTGTTGATGCTGTTAGTGTTGCTGCTGCTGTTTGTGCTGGTGGTGCTGCTGCTGATGCTGCTGATCATGATATTGCTGCTGCTGCTCCTGCTGACGCTGCTGATTCCGATGCTGCTGCTGCTGCTGCTGCGTCTGTTGTCTTTGTACTCAGCCTGCGGCAGGCAGGGCTCAAGGTTGAGGAGTTGGGGGCCCCAGATGAATATCTCAGCAACTGTCTGCTAGACAAGAGCAACGTAGGGCGGTGCTGTTGCTGCTGTTGCTGCTGCTGCTGTTGCTGCTGCCTCTGTTGCTGCTGCTGCTGCTGCTGTTGTCTTTGTTTCTCCTAGCCAACTGTTTGGCTCTGCTCTCTGCTGCTCCCCTCCTTTCTTTATTCTACCTATTATATAATATACATATATATATATATATTATATTGTTTAGTAATGTGAGATGTTTGTTCTTCTTTACTCTACCCATTACATAGTATATATATATATATATGTTGTTTTGTAATGTGCATATCTGCATAACGAATAGCATAGGTGTATATTTATGTATTTTGACGAGTGTATATTTGCACGTTTATTTTAGAAATGTTTGTATACAAGTAAATGTGTTTATTTTGTTTGTTCGTACATTGCATGCGTGCATCTGCATATTATTTATTTTGTTTTAGACTATGAAGGGCCCCATATATATATATATATATGTATGTATGTATGTATATTGTTTGTTTGCTTTACATGTCTTTTAATGCTGCACTTCGTTCGTTATGTGCTATATCTATTGATGCTGCAACTCTTCTGTCTTTGCTCGCTTTCGTCTATGTTTGTTTTGTTCTTTACTTATGCTGCAGCTTTTTTGCCTCTGTTTTTTTGTTTATTTGCAGTCAGAGTTTTATGCGGTCTTCAATGAGCTCGAAGGAGAAAATGATTTTGTCCTCCTGCGAGCAGCCTGGCGATAAATAGCTAGCTAGCTAGCTAGCTAGAGAACAACTGGCTAGCTAGCTAGGCTGCTAGGTGTTCCCTTCGGTGGATGCTAACTAGCTGGCGGAGGAGCCAGCTAGCTAGCTAGCTGCGAAGTGCTTTAGGCAGGCACCTAGCTAGTTACCTGGCTAGCTAGCTGTATGGCTAGCTAGCCTAGCTAGCTGGCTACCTGTCTGGCTAGCCTAGCTAGCCATTCCAGCTGATTTGCTGATTATCTATTTAGTTGTTTTGTGAATTATGCAAGGAGAAATCCAGAGAGTGCCGCCTGAACGGCGTTTGCATGCCCCCAGATTTGCGGTGTGTGTTGAGGTGTACGTACACCTGAATAGGGTGTACATCCATCTGTCGAGCCTCGTTTACATTTTACAATTTCTGCTATTTTGAAGATTTTCTTTTATTTCTTTTTGTTGTTTAAGTGCATCATTACTGCCATCAAACAGATAGCATGCTGCTGAAGGGGGCCTTTAGGTGGTTGGAGGAGAACTCCCCCTACCCTCCTAAAGTGCTGCCTCTCAAACCCTAAACCCTAAACCCTAAGCCCTAAACCCTAAACGCTGGATTATTTTATGCGTGGCATCTTTGAACAGCCACTTAAAACAGCAATATAACCGCTAAATGTTTTAACATATCCCTAAACCCTAACCCTATTCCTTAACCCTAAAGCCTAACCCTAAAGCCTAACATGCATTTATACAATACAAACTTTTCATTTGTGCTTCTGGAGATAAGCAGCAGCAACAGCTCTCCCCCTGTCTTTTATATTCAGGTGTATACAAGACAGAGGGGGCGATTGGTATACGAATTGCATTACATATATATATATATGTATGTATATATATATATTTATATATTTATATTCGTACTTATAGATATATATCTACGTATCTACCTATGCAGTGTTGTTGTCTACGTATACATGCGTGTGTTAGTGTGTAGTATGCGTCTGTTAGTGTCGCCACTCGTTAGTTAGTAATTTATTCTGTTTTCGTTTCTTCTATTTACCTTTTGTTTTTTCTTGTAATAATTTAATAATAAAATACAAAATTGATTAATCAAACAGAGATAAACAGCGCCCGAAGGAGTTAGGCAGAGGACCCTCTGCTGCTGTTGCTGTTGCTGTTGTAGTTAGGAACAAAATAATTCAATTATTTTTAAATATGGTGAAATATTTATTTATTTAAACAAATTTATTATTTAACTGCAATATGCAAGGAAGAAATACAAAAAATATACGCTGTCTGTTCTCTGCACTGGAGGTCACCTGCAACATATATAAATAGAAATAAATATAAATGTAAATATATATATATATTTCTACTAATTAAATGAATAAGTAAAAAGCATTTTCAAATAGAAAACGCGAAAGGAAGATATAGATACATATATATATAATAAAAAACACCCCAAGAAGATTTATGTATGTATATTTATTATCTTCCTCTGGCGTTTTCTATTTGAAAATGTCTTCTATTAATTGAATTAAATTATTAAAAATGCATCAAAACAAGAAAACAAACAGAGAGATAACTAATCGATTGATAAGGAAACAAAACCCAAAAGAAGATGTACACACCAGACCATCGATTTAATTTCTGTTATAGCGAAGGCGGCGGTGCTGCTTTCCTCTTAAAACCTACGTAAATCTTTAAAATCTAAATTTAATTTTAATTTTATTTAGATTATAATTTATTATTTGCAATAATAAATATGTTTAACCTCTCTGACACCCCAAAGAGAGCAGTAGACCAAGGCATCTACTGCTGGCTGTTGCTCGCGCCCGTAGAGGCCTTATTAAGGCCCTGCAAGCTGTATACATGAGACGTACAGATGATTGATTATGAAAATAAAGTTAATTTTCTTTATTTTTTTGTTCTTTTTCTTTCTTTTTAATTCTTTATCATGCGGCCTAATACTGCCAATGGGGTTTGCAACCCGCGGGCGCCCTGCAGCCTTTGCCGGCGAAATATACCCCTGATTCCTTTACTAGTAGAAGAAGAAAATGAAGAAGAAGAAGTAGAAGAAGAAGAAGAAGAAGAAGAAGAAGAAGAGATATATCAAGTGTAAGGTATAAAGCTCTAACAAAAACTATGATGATAAGCAAAAAATTTTGGGGTTTTAACGAAGAGAAAATGTTTAGGCCTTTCTTAGGGAGTCCTCTCCCTGCTTGCATGCGACCCCCATAATAAGCCATTTCATTCTACTGTCTTCATATATCTGTCTTTGTCTGTCTGTCTCTGCTGATGTCTTGTGAAGCTCCCAACTGCGCAGGCGCCGCAACAAGCAGCACCAGCAGCAGCAGCAGCCGTTGCTGTCACTGCAGCAGCATCGATTACGTAGAGCTGCCGCAGGGAGCATTGAGGAGCTTGAACAGGCCGAAGAAAACCTAGGAAAAATTGAGAGAACAATGAGATTAATAATCAACGAAACAAAGGAGAATTCAAGAAGCCGTCTCGTTCCAGAAGAGACACCCATGCACAAACACTATCGCTTGCAGCTCTTCACTCTTGCAGAAGAAACAAATAACAACAAGTTGAAGTTGGCATGCAATAAATCGACGGAGTCAACAGCTGTACAGACAGCGTACGTCCGTTCTTTTACTGCTGCTGCTCTTGCTGCAGCTGTTTTGTTGTTGTTGTTGTTGCTGTTGTTGTTCGTGTTCTTGCTGCTGCTGCTGCTGTCATTGTTTTTGTTTGGCGGCGGCGTATGTATGACGCATCAATGGTTTAGGGTTTAGGGTTTAGGGTTTGTGTGCAGATGCCCTTCTGAGGCCGTCGTGCAGGCATTCCCTCTGCACGGCCATTTGCTGGCGCAGGTATTTGCGCTTGTAGGGGGTGAAAGCAAACAAAGAAGAACCGTTTGCCTTGTTTGTAAGGAGTGGGAGGAGACTGTGGGGCTGGTAGCGACGTGAGACACCTATCCACTGCATGCATGCATGCGTGCATGCATGCATGCATGCGTACATGAAGGTGTTGATAAGCAGCTTTGGGGCTTTGCTGCCTGCACATCTGATGATGTTTGTTGCTGCTTGCATACATGTGTGCAGATGCTCACTTATCTCTTTAGAGCTATTTAGAATTGCAGCTCTGGATTTTGTTTTTGGTGTATTTGTGTGCTGCTTGCTTTACGAGTTACAGTGTATGTGCACCTTTTCTTTTCGTGCAGCTGCAAGGCCTTCGACCTCCCAGGGACGGAATGCCGCCGCGTGTCATCGCGTAAATACTACAGAAAAAACAAAGCAGGTGCCTATACACCCCAGTTGCTATGCTGCAGTTACGCACTCTTCTTGAATGAAGCTATTTTCTTCAAGCTTCCTTAACTAACCACCACCAGTAACCTTTAACAGGCAGCTACACTACAGCTGTGGTGTATATGCAGCTCTGCTTTTTTCTTCGCTGCGCTGTACTCGCAGGTGCCGTCCGCTGGATTCTGAATTTGGCGCTATGTCCAACGTACTGAGAAGACGCCCACATATACTTATATATATAATATAATATATAATATATATAATATATACAATATATATAATATATGTAATATATATATATATATACGTATATATATATATATATATATAGTAGGCATGTATTATGTTTTATAAATATATATAGAATTTTAATTTAGATACCCTCAAAGAAGAAAACAAACAAATAGCACCAACGATAATGAAATAATAAAGGCGCAGTCGGCAGTGCGCGTCCAGCCGTTCTACCCAGCTACTGAGTAGCTAGCTAGCGACTAGCTAGCGGCTAGCTAACGGCTAGCTAGCGGCTATGATGATGTTTTTCTACTGTTTAAGTGTCAAAGAGAGATGATTCGAAGGAAACAAAGCACAGAAAAATGTTTTTTGTTTGTTTGTTCGTTTCTTTCTTTCTTTCTTTCTTCACTTGCAGTTTGTTTTGTTTGCTTGTGCTTGCTTGTTTGTATTTTATTTATTTATATATCTATATTTTTTCTGTTTGCTTGCTAATTAGCTCTGTTGGCCTCGTTGCTTTGACTGTTTTAGAGACGAACGCATTTTTTTACATTTTGGAGAGGCTCAGAGCAGCAAACAGCAGCTGCAGCGCAGACACAGACGGAAATCAGCAGACAATTGAGTACACAAAGACAAACAAAAGGCAAAAGCAAACTGTTTATTTATGTATGTTCGTCTAAGAATGCTGCAGCACACAGAAGAAACTAGCACTTGCTCCTCCTGCCCCTCAAAATATATATACATACATATATATATATATATATATATATATATATATAAAGTTTGTCTTGTCCTTATTTCTTGCCTTCTTTTGGTCTTATTTTGGGCGTTTTGTGACTCATTAGTGTTTGATTTTTTAGTCAGTTTCTTATAAAAAACAAAATTCCGTGTTTGTTATTATTTGTGTCTATTGTTGTCTGTGCACATTTCGTATTCATCGACATACTTATTGTGCTCGCTCTCCATAGACGGTTTTTCTTTTATTGTGCTAGTAATACCAAATAAATAATAAATATACAAGAATTATCACAATTTGCATGCAATTATATTTGTCTTCCTTCGTGCAACCGTCGTGCAAGAGCCCCTGCCCTGCAGCAGCGTCTTTAGCCTTCTGCTCGTCACCCCTCTGCCTCGTCTAGTTCAACATGTTTCCCCCTCTCAATTCCTACTCAAATGTCCACGTATGGAGTCCAGAAATTATGCAGCCAGCCACAGCTAGCCACAGCTAGCCAACTCCAGCGGGAGGTAATAGTGTGCCTGGCAGTGTTATAGGGAGATATGGAGGTGCAGATCAAAGCGGATAACAGGGGCGTTCTGTAGCTAGCTCTACTGAATAGCAACTAGCTGTAGTTAGCTACAAAGTCTGCAACGACGGTAAACAGAAGGGCTGTGTGCGCGTTTCACGCTTGAAGGGGAATCAGGCGCTAAGTTTCTAGTGCATGCATCAAAGAGGGCTTCTCTCTCGTGCATGCCTGCACGTAGACTTGCAGAAGAAGCTGCTGCAAGGTGTGCTGCAATTCGTAAGAGTTTTTGCCTCCTCTCGCCTCGCGCCAGCCCCAGGTCACATCGTATGGAGGTGGACGCAGGAGGCGAAGAGTTCAGCCTGTTTTGAAGAATTTATTTGGATAAATTTATTTCGATTTAATTGCAATTCAATACAACACCTGGATGCGACCCAGTAGTTGAATTTTTTGCACAAGTACGAAATGGTTAGCGTAAATAGTACGCGCCGAGCGGTTTCTGCAATTCTATGGAATTTCAGGGTCCTTTGCTCAACTTCGATGCAGAAAAAGAAGAATAAATGAATTATAAATGCACTTTCTTCATTAGAAGCCAGCTTAAGGCATGCTACTTTAGGGCGTGCATACAGCTCGCGCTTGTAAAGGCATCGGCTGCGACCCTGGCCTGCGGGAGAACACCAAGGGGGGCAGAGGTTAAGGTGTATGCATCGTTTTGCTATGCTTCTGGTTGCTGAGAGACAGTGAAAATTTGTTTAAATGAAGAGTGTAGATTAAAAACCAATAAAAATTAAAACAAAGGCTTGCAGGCTGCGGGCTCACCCGCCGGACGCGAGCATCTGCTGAGGTGTATGCCCACCTCGTGAGCAGGCGTGAAGAGCCTGGGTGGGGAAACTGATCAGTTTGAATGAATTATTTTTGATCATAGAGATATATATTTAAAGAGCTTCTGTTTATTATTAATTTTCAGCCTTTTTTTGAACAATGCGGCCGACCAATCGGGAGGGCGACACCCCAAGCGAGAGCGGCGCCAAGCCTCGCGGAGGTTGCCTCTGAATTTCTGTGCAATTTCTGTTGGATTCCTTCTCTTGTTGAAATAAATGCATTATTTGCTCACAATATTCACAAAATAACGCAACGCAAACACTGCAGTTTCTTTTAACAACCACAATTGGTAGCACCTCTGACCAGCTGCTCCGCCGTGCCTTCTCTCCTCTCTTCTTCACCGGTATTTGGTTTGCTGCTGCTGCACAGCAAACGCCTTTTTCTTTGATTTCTTTATCTCTGCGCCGTCGTCGCCTTCGGCCGCAAACCACAGAGTTGAACAATCCGCCTACTTCGCTTATGAGTCCCTCAGGGCCCCCGTGCCTGCCGCTGCACACTCCTCTCTCTTCTTTTCTTTTCCTTCTCTCCACGCGCAATGGGGGCAGGCTGCGCTAAAAATGTTGCGGGAGAACCCCAACGGCCTCCAGTTGCAGCTGTGTACGGAGGTGACTCCAACAGACGCACCTCCACCTCTTCCTTTGTCGCACAGCAGCAGCAGCAGCGGCAGCAGCAGCAGGCGTACGCACAGTCGTGTCGATCCAGGTCTTCTGGCTTAAGCGTCGCCAGCAGCGGTAGAGTTTCGCGTATTTCTCTTTTGCCGCAGCCACCTCCCCGCGTAGCAGCAGCAGCAGCAGCAGCAGCAGCAGCAGCACGATCGCGCACAGGAAGTATTCGTCGTCGCTCCAGCAATTTGTCTGCCTCCTCTCAACACTCTCCAGCTTCTGCTCCAAACAAGAATCTGCCCGCACAAGGAGCAGTAGGCGCAGCTCCTGCTGCAGCTGCAGCAGGCACGGGAGGAGCTGCTGCAACCACCTCAGCTGCAGCAGAGCCGCTAGCTCCACCGCAGCCGCAGCAGCCGCAGCCGCCACCGCCGCAGCAGCCGCAGCAGCAGCCTCAGCAGCAAAATGTAGCACCTGCTGCTATCGCCGCTGCAATGATGGCTGCGGGGCAGCAGCCACCACCCTCGCTCCCTCCGCCGCAGCCGCCGCAGCAGCAGCAGCAGCAGCAGCAGCCACTTCCAGCAGGGTATAGCTACGCAAGCGGGCATCCTCCTCACCACATGCTGTCTGGTGAATTAACGGAGTTGAACTCAGGTTTATTATTTCATATTAGGGTGTATGCAATGAGGGCTCGGGGCCTCGGCTTCGAGTCTACGAACACCGCCACCGCGCTGCAGATACAATGGGCTGCTCCAGTTGCTGCAGACACCCTGGGGATAGAGAGAAAGCCTGCCTCTATACAGCAGCAGCAGCAGCAGCAACAACAACAACAACAGGAGCAGGAGCAGGATGCGGAGGAGAAGGATCAGCAGGATAATGAAGAGAAGCAGCAACAGCAGCAGCAGGATGAACAGCAGCAACAGCAGCAGCAGCAGGAAGACGAAGAAGAAGGGGAGCAGCAGGTGCTGGTGCTAACCACAGATGCTGCACGAGGCCGCTCACCTCGCTGGTTTAATTCTTTTGAATTTACCTGGCATTCCTCTTCATTGACGCAGCTGCGCCGGAAGGCGCTCGTCTTCTCTGTTGTAGAGGTGCCGCAGCAGCAGCAACAGCTACCGCAGCAGCAGCTACCGCAACAGCAGCAGCAGCTACTGCAGCAGCAGAAGCTGTCGCAGCAGCAACAGCAGCAGGGAGGGTGGGGCAGGGTGTTGGGTTGCGGTTCTGTCTGTCTGTTTGCTGTTGCTACTGGCCCTGTACATCACGATCTGCTGCTGCGCTCACCTGAGACAGGAGCGCCTATAGGGCGGCTGATGATGGATGTGCGCATGCAGCAAATCTGCGATTTAATAATAAATCCTATTGAAATCCTTGCTCACTTTATTGACTCCGAGGCCTCTGCCGACAGTGGAGGCTCGGACGCAGAAGATGAACAGGAGCAGCAGCAGCAGCAGCAGCAGCAGCAAGAGCACGAGCAACAACCCACCGCTGTGGCAAAACGCAAAGGAGCATCTGCAGAAACTGCTGCAACAGCAGCCAGCTCGGGAGAAGGGCAAAAAGTAACCGAGCCAAATGCTGCTTCTCCAGCGGCAGCAGCAGCAGCAGCAGAAGAAGAAGAAGAAGAAGAAGCAAGCGCTTCTCGTCCGCAGCTGCGTGAGTCCAAGTCGGAGGTATTCTGTGCTGCACGTTCTACTTCGCTGCATTCGTTTGCAAGACGGTCGCGCGACTTTCGTTGCGGGGAGAGGCAGCGGAGGCAAGCAGCAGCAGCAGCAGCAGCAAGCCGAGCAGCAGCAGCAGCAAGCCGAGCTGCTGCTGCAGCAAGCAAAAGAAATGCCCGAGCCCAGAAGGATGATTCGTTCACCTCCGATGCGGATGGCATTAGCAGAGGCAGCAGCAGCAGCAGCATTGTGCGCAGCAGCAGCAGCCTGAGCAGCAGCAGCAGCGGTGAATCTCCGGATCTAGATGTTGAGGAGGAGGCGTTAGGCCGTTTAAGTGCACATTGGCTGCTCTCTTTCTCCCCTACAGGAGTAGACAACCCAAGAGAGTCTTACTCTCTGCAAACAGATATGATGATGCAGCCTTATTGGAATTCTGTTGATCACGCCCTGTTAAAACGCCGCATCCGCAGTCGCGCCCTCTCTGTGGCCTCAGCAGCCTCTGCTCCTGCCGGGTGTCTATCTAGAAATGTTTCTATGAAAGACATCTCACCTTCAGCAACGGAGCCCAACACCACCACCAGCAACACCAACCCCAGCAACGCCAACAACAACAACAACAACAGCAGCAGCAGCAAGGAAGGAAGCCCTGCAGCTGCAACAGCGGAGGGGGAAGCTGGCGAGACTGTGAAGGAAACGAGAAGCGGAGTGGTTAAATCAAGTGAAGGAATTCATAAGAAGGGCGGGAGGCATGGTGCAAGTTTGCGTTCGAGTGTATCTGCAGTTGCGGTGTCTCGGCAGCATCATCTTCATCGAGATCATCTGGATCCATTCACAACTTATGAAAGATTGGCTGCAGTAGCAGAGGAGGGAGACTTAGTAAAGAATGTCTTATTAGATGTATTTCCTACATTGCGTCTATCTACAACAGTAGATCAGTTGCGGCAGCATTATCTAAGGATCCGTTTGCATGCAAAAGTATTTGAAAATGATACACCTCAGCTGTATGGGGAGTGTTGGCTGCCTTTCTTTAAAGTGTATGATTCAGATATTGTTAGTGCTGTCCCTCGCCTCTTCTATGACTCTTACTTTAGAGAAAAGCTGTGGCTCGATGGAAGAAGAGTAGGGGTTTTAGAGGGTGTTATTGTATTTCAAAATAATCCGGTAGTTCGTCAAGTCTGCGCTGGTATTCGCACAGAGAAAGGCTGCTGCAGTTCTTTCCCCCCTCTTCTTGACTCTGAACAGCAACACTTTAACCTCAAACTCAGCGGAGGGGTACCACCTTCTATTGCTCGTGTTGCTGCACTTCATGATAAATTGCTGCATCTTATCACCCGAAAAACCCAACAAAAAACTCCAGAAAATCTACCGCCAGTCACCGCCGTCACGGCGTTCCTCTCCTCCGTCAAAAAAACCACGCAAACAGCTCCGAGTAGCGCCAAGGTATGTATACGCATATATATATATATATATATTGTATGTATGCATACATGCTTGTACATTTGCATGTCTTCGTACATATATA